ATTGGTCCCGTAGCGCCGCTCTGGGCGCCACTGGACCAACCCAGCAGCACCCTAGCTGCTCTGCCCACTGGCAGTCAGTTTCAGCAGCGGCTGAATCTGGACGCCAGTTCCGACTTACATACAGATTCAACTTAAGAACAAACCGACAGTCCCTATCTTGTACGTAACCCGGGGACTGCCTGTACAGTCTAATTCAGCTGCCTCTCTGAGATATAAAAATCTATATTTTATGTAGAATTAATTTACATCTCTGCAATTTTTTTAAGTATGAAGGCCCAAAGGAGCATTTTTTCTGTCTTTAAAATCAGATGTAGTTATTTAAGTTCTGGAAACTCTATGCATATATCTCCTAACATTTGTGTATCACTCACTCTGTTCGCCGAGTCACATTTTTATGTGTAGTTACAAACAGTGTGTGTCTACTTAAATAATTTTTTTCTTTTAAAATAAATAGTAAAAGCAGCCAGATGACAATACACCCAACCATTGCTTAGTTTAAATAAAACTAACTATGAAATATGAATAGGTATGAAGGCAAATTGAATTCTAAGCCTAATTAGGGATGTTTTGCACACTCAGAAAGGGGGAGGAAATAATTAGAGCTTTAATTTTAGGATCATGACTATTTGTAGGGGCCATTTAAAATCACTTGTATGTTGTAATTATTTGTGCTTGCAAATTGTGGAGGAAAAATGGGGACCAGCATTTGAAAAAAATCTCATCTTTAATCACCAATGTGATGTTCATCGCCAGCTACCATTAGGAGGTACTCGAGAATGAATATAACACTAGTTGATTTTCTTTGGATTAATAAGAGCAGGAAATATGACACTGATATTAAGAAAAGTGTATGTACCAAAGATGGTGATTTTTTTGCAGGGCTTTTTGTTTCAGAACAAAGTTCTTCTGCTAGCCTTGTTGGAGAGAACCAGATTTAAGTGTTCTGTGTAACACATTAGTTAAATTGAATAGAAATTAAAGAACAGTATAAAAATGTTTCAACTTCGGGGAAAAAATTCTAAATTAAATTTTTAAGGAACTTTTTTTGTGAAAAAGGCACTATTATTTGTCATAGATATTTTAAAATCATATTTCTGCTTGAAAATGTTGCGTCTCCTGTTATGAGATATACCTACAATAGCTGTAAATGAAAGCTCAGGGAGGGAATGGTCTTGTTTTTTTCAGTTTGTTTTCTTTCTGCATTTGATTGCACTCTTTTGGTAGTTTCCCCTTTGTTTGCGTGGGTCTTTCATATAACAGAAAATAGGGACATTTTTAAAACAGAAAAATATTAAGTCATAAAATTGTCAGAGGACACTTAACTCATTATTTGAAACCAACTAAAGTCATTCCTTAATTATTTCCAGTAGATGGCAAATTCACCAATATGTGTCAGTGTAGAAAGGATAATATTTGCAAGTACAATACTATAGCTTGTACTGTCATGCCTGTTTACAAATACAGTAGTCTGTTTGAACCTACTTTTGTGAATGATTATAGTTCGTTTTTTTAATGCGCTTTTTTGAAATTTTGCATTAAACGTAGAACATTAATGTACTTGTTATAGTTTGTGGTATAGTATAATACAGTGTTTCTCAACCTTTTTTTTATAAAGTACCCCTTTAAAAACATTATAAGTACGCCCAGTAACTACAGTTTTCAGACACATTTTTTTTCTACCATTGCAACAAATTTGTTTAAACAACTTAATCGTAGCTGGGTTGGCAATGACATTTTTGGGTGTAAAAAGTACAAAAATAATAAAGCGCTGTAAAACTTAAAACAAAAATTTGGTTTTCTCCAAATTTCAGTTGTGTTGACGTATCCCCCAGACTTCTCTCGAGTACCCCGAGAGTACTCGTACCACTGGTTGAGAAACACTGGTAAAATAGCATATTTTTTTTCAAATTCCAACTCTGATTGTCATATTATGCAAATTCAACCACCAAAATTACAATAGTTAATGAAAAACAGTGTGCTTAAATTACTGTGACAAGAATAGTACTTTCATTAGCTACAATCTAGAGCAGTGGTGGGCAACCTGCGGCCCATCAGAGTAATCTGATTGCAGGCCACAAGACATTTTGCTGGCATTGATCATCCACAAGCACTTCTCCCCTCAGTTTCCAGTAACCATGGTTCTCTGTTCCTGGTCAATGGGAACTGTGGGAAGCAGTAGCCAGCACATCCATGCATCCCCTTTGACTGCAGGCGCTGCTTCCCACAGTTCCCATTGTCCCAAAACAGAGGACTGTGGCCCCTGGAAGCTGTGGGGTGTGGTGACCGCAAATGGCCAATGCCAGTGAAATGTCTTGTGGCCCACAATCAGATTACCCTGATGAGCTGAAAGTTGCCCATCACTGCTCTAGAGGTACTATATTGAGACTTTTCACCTCTAGATTTGAGTAATGAAAAAGTACTTCCACTAATAAAGAAAGCATAACATCCTCTGACACCTGTCAGATGTCATCTTGTTTATTTTTCTTCAACATAAATCTGTAGACTCTCTAATCCTACACTTGAAATCAATGGTCACTTTATCATTAATTTCAGTAATAACATTATAATGTATTTTCTTCACTATTAGAAGTGGACACTCCTGAAGTACCTAAAAGTATCTAAGAAAACTTCTTACTTATTCTTGTTACAAAATTATGTTTTAAGTAGCACATGTCATTCTCTAGGGGTATGTCTACACTACAGCACTAATTCGAATTAACTTAGTTTGAATTAGTTAATTCGAACTAAGCTAATTCGAATTAGCTCATCTAGACTTAAATCCTAGCTCTAATTAGCATTTTGCTAATTTGAACTAGCATGTCCACATTAAGTGGACCCTGAACTGGGCTTAAGGATGGCCGGAAGCAGTGCCGGCAGGGCATCAGAGGAGGACTTAGAGCGTGGAGATGCTGTCTCAGGCTAGCCGAGGGCAGTGCTTAAAAGGTCCCGACCCCCACCCCGGACAGACAGTTCTCAGGGGTGCCCCGCTTGCAAAGCAGTCCTGGCTTGGATTGCCCGGAGTACCCACACCGGGCACATCACACCACTCGGCCATCAGCCTGGCTGCCCTTGCCGCAGGCTGCCATCTGGGGAGAGCGGGCAATTGGGGGGCTGCAGGAGA